CTTCATCCCTGAAAGAGTGACCTCTGACCTGGAGATGAGTGTAGACCGCAGAGTCCTGGTCTGATGATGTTGATCTTCTGTGCTGGTCCATCCTTTTGGCGAGTGGCTGTTTAGTTTCCCCGATATAAGACTGATCACCCTCCTGACACTGAACAGCATACACAATATTACTCTGTTTGTGCCGGGGGACTGGATCTTTGGGATGAACCAGTCTTTAATGTATTTTAGGGTTTAAAAGCCACTGGGACGTTATGTTTAGAAAATAAACGTCTCAGTTTCTCTGATACTCCCTCAACATATGGAATGACCACTGGTCTGGGTTCCTCCTTTTCACAACATGCAACATGCATGGATACAACATGCCCTTCCACTTCTATGCTGATGACTGTCAAATTTACTTCCCCCTAAGACACAATGGTACACGCTCTATTCAACCGCTGCTCGACTGCCTGGCTGACATCAGGGACTGGATGGCTTTAAACTTCTTAAGTTTCAATGAAAAGAAGTCTGAAGTCATGTTGTTCCCTCCCAACGACACGATCACAAACCACTGCATCGACCTCTCCGCTCTAACCCTGTCAGAAAAACAAAGAGTCACTAATCTGGGCGTGATAATAGACCCTTCCCTGAAACTTAACAATCATGTAAACATGATTGTTAAATCATGCTTCTTCCAACTGAGGCGGCTGTCTAAACTGAAGCCCATATTGTCCAAAAAGAACCTGGAGACAGTAATACATGCATTCATTACATCTAGGCTTGATTACTGCAATTCACTCCTGTTTGGTATCAGTCAGACCTCCATTGCACGACTACAACTGGTCCAGAATGCAGCAGCCCCATTTTTAACCAGTACAGGCAAAAGAGAGCACATTACACCAGTTTTGGCCTCACTGCACTGGTTACTGGTTCACTTTCGAATCCAGTTCAAAATACTCATGTATGTCTACAAATCACTGAACAGTGTTCCCCCCCCATCTCTCTGATTTGCTACAACCGTATGTCCCACCACGTTCCCTGAGGTCAGCGGACCAGTTGCTCCTCACAGTTCCAGGAACTCGTCTTAAGCGCAGAGGTGACAGGGCCTTCTCTGTAGCAGGACCAAGACTTTGGAACGAGTTACCTCTGCTTGTCAGACAGGCCCCCTCCCTCTCTGTTTTCAAGTCCTGTTTAAAAACTCACTACTATTCAGTAGCTTTCATCACCAGATGATCTGTGTTTGATCCTGTATGCTCCACACTGGTTTGTCGTCATTATCTGCATCGTTTTTATGTCTATATTCTGATTTACCTCATTTTGTATTTTGCTTTGTGTGTTACCTGTTGTTCTGTCTGTACAGCACTTTGGTTGGCCTTGTCGCTGTTTTAAGTGCTTTATAAATAAAATGGTATGGTATGATATGGTATGGGATATAAATTAGAATTTGAAGCTCTATGTAAACTTAATAGGAAGAATGGTTAAGAGGTGCCAGTCCTAAACTTAATTTGTCTCTTTTTTTCTTGCCAAGCGTTTCATGTGAAAACTGTCTCCTACTGTTTGTGCTCCTCAAAGAGTCAGCTGATTAAAGAACATTTGTGTGTTTTCAGGTATACAAATGCTCACCGTTCAGCCGGACACCAAGCCAAAAGGCTGTGCCGGCTGCAACCGGAAGATCAAGGATCGCTACCTGCTGAAGGCTCTGGATAAGTACTGGCATGAGGACTGCCTGAAATGTGCGTGCTGCGAGTGCAGGCTGGGAGAAGTGGGCTCCACTCTCTACACCAAAGCCAACCTCATCCTCTGTCGGAGAGACTACTTAAGGTAAGAGCTCAGCTTTAGCATCGTTTACTGTTGTGGGAAACATGATCTGCTGGATAAGTAATGCTTTACACCTTTCAACACATCACAATGAACATGTGTGGAATGAATGTATTAGAGAAAGAAACACAGATTTGTCACAGTAAAGTTGAATAGGGCAAGTTGTGAATTTTTTAGATTTTGTTCTTTTATTTTTACAATCGTTTTCACTCCATTTTTTATTGGCTTTATTTCAGTTTTTTGGATGTGTGAAAATTAGACAGTGGCAAATAGAGAAGTGGCTGCAGAATTGTCTAACTCGTTTACCTCAAATGATGTTGGTCTTATCCAAAACGATTTAAATCCAACAAACAGAAGTGCTGAGTGGTAAAGTTAAAACATGTTCGATAGGCAACATGCAGTTCAAGCACTTAAATGCAGAATATTGCTTTTATTTCCACTTTGTCATCAGCAGATTGTCATTGTAAGTAGTTTTCACTTAAAAGGAAGTGAGGTCATTTGTAAGAGAAAGAAGTGGTGTTTCTCCATTTTATTAACGAGGAAAAGCATACTTACCCCCTTTAAGAGTCTTAATGCAGCTCAAAGAAAAGATTACTGAGACGTTCATATCAGGGATAGAGCTAAACTGTTTCCAAGGTCCTGAACATCCCAAGGAGTTCAGTTACATCCACCTCCATCTTCTATCGCTGATGTGTAGCCGGGTCGTGGAGGCAAATGTCCAGGACAGACACCCAGTAATGTGTCTGGTTACAATTATTACTGTTCTTATTACTATTATTACTGTTCTTATTACTATTATTACTGTTATTACTATTACTATTATTATAATTATTACTATTATTATTACCGTTACTATTACTATTAATATTACTGTTATTATTATTATTATTATTATTATTACTAGTATTTTTGCTGATTTGTTTACAAACTCTAGACACACGAGAGTTCTTCAAACTCATGTTTACTGTGGTCTTGTATTAGTCTTCATATTACTTTTCACCACCAGTACACCATAGAACAGTCTGGCCTGCACGTGGACAAACCAGTAGCCTTGAAAACGTTGGTTACGTACTGTAACCCCAGATTCTATTTCATATAGGCTTCGCACTTTAAGGATGTCGCTGATGGGTTAAAGGCGAAGCGGATGTGGTCCTCACCTCACTGGGTCCATTCGAACACCGTATGAAGCAGAAGCTTGCCCCAAAAAAACGTCTTGTCACTCAACTCCCCATGTGCATAATTACGCGTTGCGTAATTATGCACATGCACCACAAATGCGTGCCGCAGTGGCACGCATTTGCTTCGGTGAGGCGTGTGTCGCTCTTGCTGAGAACGAGGTCCTTCACCGGACCCGACCTGCAGTCCCACATTTATGCCGATATGAGCCGGTGAACGCCGGGGAGCTGTGTGTGCACCATCATCAACGCAACGCCGTTTGGGTGAAGGCTGTTTGCGTCGCGCAAGTGCACGTTTGACACCGCTTGGGTGAAGATCTTGCAGCTCGGGTTGACTACGAGTTATTTCGCTTACCACTGTTATGTTCTGTGAGCGTCTTGTCATGTCTGGAACAACGGTGAGTTTGAAAAACCTTTATTTAAGGACACCGGCTCGTTTTTGTGGAGGATGTGTGCGCAGCCGCTGTGAGTTCATACGAGCTTACAGACTGGCTAAAAACAGACACTTTGATCAGTGAATGATGTTTTATTTCAACATTGTGTCATCTTTCCACACACCCTCCGTAGACCGTCATTTTGAATCTTTTCCCCCCGTCACTTTGGGATTTGTTGGCCCAGGGCGCCGTCTGCTGGGGGTCTCTGGGAAAACGTTGGACACTCTGTTGCCGGGATGAAGAGAGCCGGTCTCTGATGGGCGGGGCTGCGGTGACGTTCAGCGAGATGGCTGTGGAACGTCTTGCTACCAGCTCATTTCGTGTGGAGGATGTGAGAGGGAGCCGCTGTCAGGTCATCCGAGCTGACAGACTGGCTAAAAATAGACACTTTCATCATTAAATGATGTTTTAAACCAAACTTGTGTCACCTTCACACACATCCTCCGCAAAAACCGTAATTTGCTCTGCCATTTGTTGTCCTAGAGCGCCATCTGTTGGCGGTCTCAAGGAAACGCTGAAAACTCCGTCCTCCAGCTGCGATATGGGCCGGCAGACAGCAAAGAGGGGCACCGGTTGAGGATGACGTCAGCTGCCCTGCAGAGGGAGCGTAAGTCTCGTTCTGCCTCTGAACGTGTACGCCAACAGCGTAACGTGTTGTTCGCTGCGGCCGTCTGAAATGCATGCTGGTGAGCTTGGTCGGAGAGCGGTGTCACTGTCTGGGTTACGCTAACTGGAGACACGGGACGCTGGTCCACCTGGACATCTTGCTCCGAGAAAAGTCTCCGTCAGGCTCAGCTCCAGGGGGCACTTAACAAAGGTTGGTCATCTACACAACTTTCCTTCTTCGTTCTTCTGACAGTGCTATTAGCTCGCTGAAGAAAAATGGGAGCCGATTACCAGCTATTAACGTAATTTATACGGACCGGGTGGGGCCCATACAGCAGGTGGGCGTGGACTAAATTTTTCAGTGTGATGCTCCGCATATCGGGATAAAACCCATCAGCGACAGCCTTAAAGGGCAAAGCCTATACGAAATAGAATGATTATTTTTCTTCTCAACTGTTCTTAACTGGCTCAATATCAGGTCCGTTGTATTAACCGTTTTAACAATCCTTTTGAAACCAGAAGTGACGTCATCATCGTCTTAAACTAAATTTATCAAGTTGGCCAGTTTACTTTCTCTTAAATATCAATTAAAATTAATTTTTGTTATGAAAAGTGTTGAAAAACAGAAAATAAAGCACTTTAAAAAACAGCATGCTATATGAACTTTCTGCCACAGCGACATCTAGTGGTGAAACTTAAACAAACAATAACAACTGCCGCTACAATTATTATTATCGTTATTGTCGTCGTCGTCACCATCGTTGTCATCGTTATTATCGTTATTATCTTTGTTGTTGCTATTATTATTATTATTATTATTATTATTATTATTATTATGGGCCAGCCAGTGCTCAGGTGATCAGCGTGCTGACCCGTCAGTGTCAAAGTGTAAAAATGAAGATAAACGTCCACATGGACAGAAAACCTGAAAGCAGGTTTGTTTTTAATATTTTCAAGACTTTCATTCTTTTTCTCAAGATTTAAAAAAACATTCAGAATATGATAGTTTCGTCTACAGACCTCCTGAAATGTTATTTTATGAAGAGGGCTGGATTGAAGTTGCCCATGGACTGGAAATGGTCCGCAGGCCACCAGTTGAATAGCCCTGGAGCAAACTGTATTCACCCTCTACACGCTCAGGGTAACACGAGTCTGAATCCATTAATTATCAGTCGAGTCATCTGGACAGTTTCTTTTTATAGAGACGTTTCACCCTCTATCCGGAGGGCTTCATCAGTCTGAGGAGTTCCATTAACCGTTTCCCACCCAGCAGTAAACTTCTTAAGTGAACCACTTTGGCGGTGGCTGCCTGCCTGGGAGGAGTCGAGGTCAGACAGGACGGCCCCCAGAAACCATCTCATCTCCAACAAACTGGTTGGTCCACTGTGGGAGGAAACCAGAGTACCTGGAGAAAACCCACGCATGCATGGAGAGAACATGCAAACTCCACCCAGAAAGGCCCCAGGACTGGGATTTGAACCAGGGACCTGCTCGATGAGAGGCAGCAGCTCTACCAGTTGCGCCACCGTTCTGCCCTACGTTTAAACATTTTCCTGATTATTCATGAAATCCCTCTGACCACAAAGCATTCATTATGCAAAACTCGACAATGTCTGAGGAAAAGGGGGTGGAGCTCCAGCAGGTAAGGGGCGGTTCAGTACGGGACAAATCATGATCGCTGATTGGTCAATTGCTGACGAGCCTGCTGGAGTGATTGACAGGTGTCATTGAGAATCTGACTCATGCAAAAGAAATAAAATCTGATTTTTCTGGCCTGTTTAAAACCGTCGTCATTTATTCCAATTTTATTGCAATTGTTTTCAATATTTTGGTGAACTGGTTCAGAGAAGTAAGCTTCCTTACAGAATCTGTTTCCAGGGGTGTTGAGTTTAAAATCTGATGTGGATCTAAAACTGGAGTCTGTCCCGGACACAAACTGTGACATCACACCCCTTCCTGTACGAACAGGAAGAACGTTACTCCAACATGTTCTGGTTCAGTCTCAAGCAGGTAAAGAAATCAAGAAATTCTAAGGCTTTGATTTAATTATTGATTATTAGACAGAACTCAGAAGTGTCAGCTCTTGCACCTCCTTCCACTCCAGATTAACTCTCCTGCATCATGGCAGGTTTTACTCCTCATCCAACTGTTTCATATTTGTCCATCACATGAACCTGGACGACTTTAGTAAATGCTGTTCTGAGGTCAGAGAGACCGGATGGTGTTTCCACTGAACCAACCTGAGTACAGCTGGAAAGTCTTTTTGCCTGTCCACTTGAAAAGGATGTTTTTCTTTGAGGTTTTAATTAAATTCAAGAGCAGTTTAAAGGTTATTTAACCGTTCCTGCATGGCCTTTATTAGATGTGCTAGAGGTCATTCCCATGCATATATTATTGGTTTCCTAACCTTTTTCCTCACAGGAAATTATCCTTGAGCATTTGCAGATTAGGGTTAGCTTTGGGTGAGAGTGTGGCCGATTTTTAATCTTTCTCAGGGAAACTCTGTGATGAAGAACAGAAGTCTAATATTTAGCTTGAAATGTGGAACAAATGATGTTCAACGCAGCGCCAAACAGGATCGATTTGTCTGTTCTGTTGGTTCATCTGTACCTAATCCAGATCAGGGTCAGAATACGAGTTTGGCTTGATGCTCAGCAACTACCATGTCACATTCTAGTTTAATATCTGTCACGTCGGCTGAGTCAGCCATTTCTGTGTTGGCTGAATTAATTGATCTGTGGCTGGGGCAGACTCGACCATGTAACGTGCATCCAGTGGTTAATTTCCT